AGCCAAGCATACAGAATGGTGATTTATGATACAAGTTTAATTACTCTGTTTACATGTTTGGCTCAGAGCAGAGCAGTATTTGCCTGTGGGCGAGGGAGGTGGAAACACAGAGGGAGGGAGGGAGAAAGAGAGAGGGAAGAGAAAGCAGGCGTGTCCCTTCGCCACGCTCCAGGGATTAGTTATATATAAGTTGACTCACTGCAGAAAGAGCAGCAGCAGCAGCAGCAGCAGCAGCAGCAGCAGCAGCAGCAGCAGCACACACTCATTCTCAGTAAGGACCTTACAAGTCCAGAACGTTCTTCTTCCTTTCCTTCTCTACGAGGTTAGTATCTTCTGCTACTCTACTTTTATTAACCTGTAAAGTTTAGAAAACTAATGTTATTTCCCATTTTTATTTTGGAGGGGTGTGTGTCGGGGGGAGGTTTCCTACACATAAACAAGCCTGTGTGTGTGTGGGTGTGTGTGTGTGTGTGTACAGTGCTGTGCTGGTCGACAGAGCATGTTTTTATAAAAGTGTCCACCGTGGTCTGGGCATCATTTTAGTGGTGGTGTAAACAAATAATTCAAGGTCCAGTTTAAAATTGTGGGCCAGATGAAGCTGTGTTGGGTGGCCCACTCTTTGAGATGTGGACCAGTCGTGTTGGTAACAGGCTCTGGTCCAGTATGTGGTTCAGATGAGGACCCACTTTGTATATAATTAGGCGTAGAAGTGGGTTACATCCAGAAATGTTGGCCACTACTTGATCAAATACGGGGTTTGTGTGTGGGCTACATCAGTTCTGCTGTGTGGACGGCCAAAAATTGTATTTGAGTCATCTGTTGAGTTCAAAGTGGGCTAAAACTGGGACCTATGTATGTGTAGACCACAGTTTACGATGTGGGCTCCATGTCATACTTGGCCTACATATTTGTCCCACTGTATATAGCCCAGGAAATGGGCTGGAATTTAAACACAGATGTAGAGGAAAAAACTAAATGTCTAACCAAATATTAACTTGATTAGAGGTAAAGCCAGGTGTAGCAGGGTCAGGGGTTTGATTCCCACTCAGGTCCTTTACCTGAGCATGTAGCCCATGAATGAGGGTATATTTAAGGTAACAGTAACGGAGGTAGACGACTGCAGAGAAAAGCTCAGATTAACCTGTCTGACTGGAGCTGCCTCTCATTCACCTTCTCCTTCCATGTGCACGCTCTCGCGCACCAGCTCCACCCACAACACATCAGAGAGATTAAAAGCTCCTCTTGATGATTGGGATTAGGCCGGATAATTAAAAGGCTGCGTCAAAGTGAGACAACTCCAGTGTGACAACAGAAAAAAGACATCAGCTAACGGCTGAGAGTTAGCAAAACAGCTCGGGGAAGATGTCCATAGGAAATGGATTAAAGTTAGTCCAAACACCCACAAGCAAAAATGGACAAATGCTAAACTTAAGATAATTATACAGATATATATATAACTAGTTTATATATACTGTATATATACATTATAATTAAATCATCACATACAGAAGGGTAGGACTAAAGATTATATTCCAGCAAACATCAACACATCTGTAAATCACGTGTTAATAGGACACACACACACACACACACACACCTCACTGCGGTGTCTCTGACTTGTAGCTACATAATAAGTTCAACCAGATGATTCTGAACTTGTAGTTAAAACTTTAGGCTTTTTTCAAATTAAATATTACATAATGAAACAAATACATTTTTAAAAATTCAAAGTACAACAAAATCTTAATATTTCACCACAAAAGAGTCATTTATCATACTTGTGTTAAAAATGTACTTTTAGCTAAAATGTCATCTTGGGTTTTAATAGTTTGGTGTATTGTATTGTTATTTTGGCTAACTGAGCTTTTGGTTTGTTTGTTGCTGGTTTTAATTTAACCTTAGCTAACGTTCAACTAGCATGTGCTAGCTAAGTTTTTTCTGGACATTACTTTAGTGATCTTGCAAGTTTTAACCAGCTCTGTGGCTACCCATTAGCTAAATAAATTAATCTGTAGCCAGGTTGTGTTATTAGCCTCCACTGTCAGCATCTGGTTCCTGCCTCAGTGCTGTGAATCCAGTAGACATCTCCTGATAAAATTCTCTAACTGCGTCAGTCTGACGATTACACCACAGAACAGTGATAACTGACTGAGCTCCACTGTTAACTGGTTACAGTTGGATCTGAAGACAGACGTTAAGCCAAGATTGTGACACAAAGAAGAGAGCAGAGCAGAATTACAGTACAGAGAGTACAGTCAAAGACCAAGAGGATTGATCTGGGATCTGTGTCCTCACGGTCCAAAGGTCTGAGTGGACAACACACTGACATCTAAAAGGAGCCAAAATACCTTTAATATAAAATAAATGTATACAAATTGACATGTTTGTCCATTAGCTCTATTTCTAATGCGTCACTGAAACTATTGCTTCCGTACACGTGCACACATGTCCAAACGTTCCTCGAACCACAGTTTCCTAATGAGTTGTGACTGAGATCCTGCTGATGATGTTAAGTTGAGTGATGGACGGTTGGAGAAGGTTCTCCTCCCGCCGCTCCCCTCCTGCTGACCTACATCTGAACCAGTGGGACGAAAATAAAACCACGGCTCCGACCTTTATCTTATCAGTCAGCGCTGGCACAACTCCGTGGGGAATGCTCATATTGACGTCCATATCTGTGTCAGGGTCACAGAAGATCTAGGCCTGTATTCTGGACATAAAGCCCAGCTCAGTTTGAGACCAGATCAGTGGTGACGCCGCAACAGGAGTTTGAACAAGTCGAAACAAACAAGCTGGAATTCTGAGAATCCACATTTTGGTGTCAAGGGTCAAGTGTCTGAGAGAACAAACATCCAATACTTTGAATTCATTTAAAATTGTTTAAAAAAAAAAAGAAGAAAACCAGAATTGTGAGAAAAGCTGTATTTTGTTGGAATCTTTTTGACTGTTTTTGTCCAACAGTTTCCTGTGCGATGGGTGTGAAGATGCTCCAGTGTTTTCCCTTCTACAGACGCTGTAAGGAACGCTGTAAGAGCCGACAGTGTCCTCCAGACACCGGTGAGGGACAGCTGCACTCACCAACGATTAACGGACAAAAATACTGACCCTGACCTTTGACCTCTAACCTTCTGACCTCCTCAGTTCCCATCGAGGAGATGAAGCCGCGTCTGTCCTCCACCACCTCCTGGGACAGTGAAGGCTCCGGGACCCTCAGCCGGGGCCCCTGCTACTTCTCCACCAAAGCCAGGCTGTCCTTCAGACACCAGCTGGACAGTAACATCAACGCAGTGGACGCCACCTACTGACCGGATCACAATCCAGCCTACTTTGGGAACTGGTCCGTAATGACTCTGAAGGAGCCACGGTTTGGTTTCACTGTTTGGATTCAGGACAGAGAATCCACTGAGAGTGGTTTCACTGTTGATGTGGATTCAGGACAGAGAATCCACTGAGACAGACTCAGGACTGGTTTCAGTACCAGGGTCCTGGACCCAAATGGACCTAAGAAATCTGACCACAACCAGGACAACACAGAATTGTTTACAAGCTTCATCACCGACAAGTGCATTATTTTAGACAAGGCTGAAAAGTCTGGGTTTGAGAGTTTTAAAAAAAAATCTTTTATCAGTGAAGTAGTAGAAGTTCAAGCCGACAACCCTTGTGGTGGTTGACATTCAGGCCCTGCGTTCTACACAGACCAATGAAAGTAGAGTTGGAGGCCAACTGGGACAGAAGTTTGTGTCTGATGTTCTACATACAAGATATGGGCCAGTTAGGTTCCAGACAAAAGTGGTTAAGGTCACAGTGAAGCCCAGACGTGGGCCACAAAGAGCCCACAGCTCTGTACTGGGCCACATTAAAGATTGGTTTTGTTTTGTGGATAATTGCAAGAATATGGTCCACATTCTTCCAGCCTTAGTATCTGTCCCACATATATTTGTCAAATCCAACATCCCAGATATAAAGTGAAGCTGCAAATGATAATATATGACTAGAGTTTTATCTAATATGGTGTACAGATTTAAAGGTCAACATTGTGGGTCAGATCCACGTGGACAAAAATGTTTATATTCACAATAAAGTCTCCAGTTACTGCACCTTTCTAAGAATCCTGAGCTGAGCCTGGTCTTCTGTTTCACTCACTGGGTCTGTTTTCATGTTGTGTCCAGAACACAACCTTAAATATACAGCATATATATATATATA